CCGTCCAGGCCAGCGAGCTCACTGATGCCAACCCGTGGCTGCGGATGACGGGGTGGGCCAACTACCTCCAGGGTAACCAGGCAAATGACCTGCTTGCCTGCGTGGCAGCCCCCGAGGAGGAACCCAGGGATGCCACTGAGCAGCGCGTGCAGGTGATCTGGGATACCATGGAGCAGGTCGCCCATAAGAGCCAGCGGTCGGTCCAGCGATGCGGCCAGGCCATCCGGGTGGAAGCCGTCCGGTCTGAAAAGGGGCAGACCCCATACCGGCCGCTGCTGGCATACATGAACAAGGCCACTATCAAGAAGCATGTGCAGCCATGGCAGCAGATATTAGCATTCATTGCGCGGACCCAGGCCCCGCACGATTGGGCCAGCCCCAAATATGGGATGACTGCACGGCAGCGTAAGAAATGGTGGCAGCTATGGCAGCTGGCGGGCCAGGCCCCCCAGAGTAGCCCCGATCCCATGGATACCGAGATGGACGACCCGCAGCGGGGTGCGTGGGCCATGACCAACATGGAAAAGGCATGCTTGGAGTTTTGTACTGAGTTACTGAACTAGCGCCATCGCAGCCATGAATATGAGAGTGCATTGGTATGTGCCATGGCTGTGTTAGGCTAGGGGGAAACCAGCTGGCGGGACCCCGAGAGTTATCCACCGATATTATCCAAGGTCATCAAGATCACGCGGTTCATGGTGGTCCAGAAGGCATTATGGATGGATCCACACCTGTGGCAGATCATCCAGATGTGGGAGAAGAAGGACCAGAGTGCTGAATGGGTGTTAGCCAGCGTAGATGACACATTAGGGGACATTGATGAGGGGTATGACAGTGATGACGCCATCATAACCTAATCATCACCCCCCACGTCATCCATCCAGAGTGATGACCTATTACCTGCTATGGACATGCACCAGCATAGCTGTCGACTATTCTAGGAGCAGGTGACATGGATGATGCACCAGTTTATGATTCATAGCACCCATGGCCCCATGGAAATATTACTGGATTAGCGCACATATGGGCTTAAGGTCCATTATAATCATACTGCCCCCAGTCATGTGACATAGATGGGGGAGGACCAGTTATTATACCAGCAGATGGCATTCACCATAGGTGATTTCTGGGGGTTCATCCATGGGTTAGTGACTGCGGCTAGGGAGATACTAGGCCATTTATGCATGCAGGATCATTCCCAGATGCCCCCCATTCCATGGACGGCATTATATGATGATCCCAGCCAGAGCCAGGTGGGGTGGAACTTTTTACAGGACGCACGGACCCAGTGGCCAGTGGATAGGACCCACTGGATGATCAACCGGCTGCGGGCTGAGCCGGCTATGTAGCGGCATTTCATGCAAGGGGGCCGATTCCACCCTGCGGCCATCCAGCAGTATTAGCAGCGCGTGGCCCAGTTCAAGGAGAAGTTAGCCATCATGGTGCATGTCACCGCAGGGCAGCCGGCGCGGGCCCCAGAGTTATTAAGTATTCAGCACTGCAACACCGCGAATAGTAGGCGGCGTAATATATATATTGAGGATTGGATGGTGACATTCGTGACGGCATATCATAAGGGGTTCCATGCCAGTAATGATGTCAAGATCATCCATCGATATGTGCCGCGGGAGGTCGGGGAGTTGGTGGTGTGGTATATGTGGTTGGTTTTGCCGTTTGTAGGGCAGTTAGCTGCATGGGAGGCCGCGCAGGCAGTGCAGGGAGCGGCATCACAGGCAGCGGCATCACAGATGAACCAGACGAACCAGAGCAACCAGAGCAACCAGACATCCCAGAGTAGGACCGTCGCCCACACGGCATGGTTATGGGGCCCTGATCCAGGCACTGGCCGTGAATGGTCATCCGAGCGGTTCTGGGAGGCTTTGAAACGAGAAACACGCACCTGATTAGGGACTGCCATCCACATTGCAGCATATCGGGACATCACCATTGGCATCAGCCGCTGGTTTTTATGTCCATCCACTGCATTTCTAAATAATGTGTAAGAGGCCGACCACATACCAGCAGCCATGGATGCAGATGCTGAGGAGTTTATGGATGATGAGCAGTAGATTAGCCACATTGCTGACTTACAGGCCGCCTATTCATCACATGTCACAGGGATGGTGTATGGTCAAAGTATCCATGAACAAGCTGGCAGCACCAACCACTGGCGTGAGATGTTCTGGTTATCTAGCACCGACTGGCATTAGTTTTTGGGGTTTACATCTGCAGCCACTGCACCATCAATATTAGGTAAGCGCAAACAAGCACCATGGGAGGATGAAGCCAAGGTCAGTCGCATTGAGCGCTGCCACCAGCTGGCCACCATGGATATGGAAGCAGCCGCGCAGTGAATGACCGGGCAGCCCACTATGCAGTTCCGGGGGGTGCAGGACCCAGCCATTTGGGCCATCTAGTGAGGGGAGAGCCCTATGGTGGCGGTGATGCCCACAGGCAGTGGCAAGAGCATGTTGTTCATGGTGCCAGCATTTGCCGCCCCTGGAGGCACCACCATTATTATGGTCCCACTGGTTGCATGACGGGCTGATATGCAGCGCTGGTGCCAGCAGCTGGGGATTTCATGTGTTGCATGGGAGAGCCGGCGGCCCCCAGATGCCGCGTTGATCGTGTTAGTGACGCCCAAATCCGCAGTCAGCCCCGATTTCCAGATGTTTTTAAACCGGTTGCGGTGGATGCGGCGGTTAGACCGCATTGTGATCAATGAATGCCATGTGGTGTTGAATTCCCAGCGTGATTTCCGGCCCCAGATGGCCTAGTTAGGGAAATTAGTGCAGGCACGCACCCAGATGGTATAGTTAACCGCCACGTTGCCCCCAACCATGGAGGACGAGTTATGCTGGCGGATGAAGCATGATCAGACCGCCATGACCATTTACCAGGCCCGGACCAGTCGTCCGAACGTGGCATACCGGGTATGGCGCCCCATATTGACAGGGGTCGGCCGGGGTCCGTACCAGTGGATTAAGAGTGAGGCCATGGTGGCATTCATTCAGGACCATATTCGATGAGCGGCGGGAGGCAAGGTAATCATATATGCGAATATTATTGGGCAGGTGACGGCCATGGCGCGGGTATTAGGGTGTGAGGCATATTATAGCGATCAGTTAGACAAGGCTGGGGTGTTGGCGCGGTTCATGGGGGCCAGCCCTGTGATCGCGGCCACCAGCGCGTTAGGCATGGGGGTGGATATCCCCAATATCCACAGCATCATCCACATTGGCACACCGCGGACGTTATTAGATTATGCATAAGAAAGTGGCCAAGCAGGACAGGATGGCCAGCAGAGTGAGGCGATCATCATTCAACCGGCTGGATGGGATGCGCCAGCACCATGGATGGAGGGGGTATCGCCAGAGGATCAGGAACGAGTCGCAGATTATATGGGGGTGGTGGAAGGGGTTGGGTGTCGCTGGGTGGTGTTAGATCAGTATTTGGACGGGGTGGTAGATGGGTATCAGCATCAGCATTGCCAGGATCAAGATGGTGCGGAGCAGGCGTGTGATGGGTGTGATGCTGATTAGGAGGCACAGGAGGTGGTGGATCACCCAACACCAAACCATAATGGGTTTCCGCCATCCAGGATGGCAGCAGGCATGTTAGGCAGCACAGTAGACTGCACATCATTAAGAGAGGCATCCAGTGAGGCATTGGGTGAGGGTTTAAGGGAGGGATTAAGTGAGGCACTGCGGGAGGCGACTATTAGTCTATCACCATCCGCCGAATCATTCACCAGCCAAGCCGCCATTCCCATGTGTGTATGGCATGAGGCACCGCAGGAGGCATTGAGGGAGGCACCATGGGAGGCAACCATCAGTCCAACACCATCCGCTGAATCATTCGGCAGCCAACGCGCCATTCCCATGTCCGTATGGCACGCACAGGAGGCGCAGACCCAGCAGTGGGCCGCCATGGATATCCAGCAGCAGCAGCATCGGACCCAGCAGGGTTTAGATGAGGAGATGGCCCAGGCGGAATGCATGCAGTGGCGGGACCAATGTTATATATGCGCTATGCAGGGGTACAATAGTAGCCATGAGTTATATTCATGTTATCAGCCCCACAGCCAGGCCGCACAGGCATGGATGATTCGCGTGCGGCAGTAGATCTAATATGCCCCGTATAGTGCATGTTATTTATGTGGCATGCCCCAATCCATATACCATGGGTGGGAGCCAGGCCATCCATGTGAATACTGCGGGTTTTTAATCCCCATGATGGCCATGATGTTGTTCGGGCCATGGCAGGGCCAGATTGAGCCTGTATGGCAGCGCCGGTTGCAGGGAATGGGGGTAGATAGGCAGGATGAGGCCCAGGTGGTCCAGTTTTTAGGGCAGCCCCACCCCAACCAGGAGGGGCACAGCCAGTTATTTGTATTATTTTGTTGGTTATGGTGGTTATGCCAGGAGATTAAGGATTAATAGGATGGATATATATATGGGTTTAGTAGATGAATATATCAGTGTAAGCAGTGGTTTCATATCCATGCATATATATATTCGCCAGATGAATTATGAGGGGG